AACCTTGAGCCACAGGGGTGACAAGTTTTAGGAGGACAAAAATGTTGTATTTCCTGCATTTCTGGCCACCGGTCAGTGGTTTGTTTTCACCACAGTCGGGGACTGAGTAACCCATATGACCACAGTCTTTCATTGGTATTTGTTGCTGTTTTTTCTTACGTTGAGATGGTGTGTGAGAAGGTGTAAGGTGGCAGAATTTGCTATCTTGGCAAATGTACAACTCTTGATATGTACAGATGCTACTGTTTGAAGTAAACTAAAAGTTTAGTGCAGATTGTGATGACAGGAATAAGTTCATTAACCACTTTATGTACTTCAGGTAGGTGGACGAAGGAGCAGAGAGCAATGTTAACAGGTGTGTCATACACATATTCCAGGTTATGGATCGTGTCATAGACGGATTTAGATGTTCGGTGGAGTAATGTCCCGTGGGTGGAAACTGTTTTTGTGTCTGGTTATTTTGGAGACCAGGCTTTAAACTTATCATCTTCAAGCTGTTCGGTGTCCTTTGAGCTTTGAGCCAACAGGCCAGACATCATGTGATGATCGATCACGGTGTGAATCTCTCTACAAATTTAGATCAACTCGTGCGATCACATGATAAGTTGTGCTTAAGATGTTCTGCACTGGTGCCTCTGAGCTTGGCAGTTTAAACCTGCTGCAGGTTCTAGTTTAAATGGTTCTCCAGCTCCTAGCCTTCTGGAGAGCAGAACAACGACTGCCATCGCCAGCTGCTTTCCAGAATAAGGGGGCTTCAGAGACTCACTGGAGAAGCAGCTGAGGACCGCCTCCACCTGAGCAGCCGGCACGTAGGCAAACATGAGACAGGACAGGTCGGTGGTAGCTGCTTAGCGGTGACTAGACTTTCAGAATAAAATACCTACTTGTGGCACATTTAATGACACGATCAGTATAATTAGATTAAATTGATGTAGGATTGTTAAATTGCCTCCTTTGCTGAAAACAGTTAAATTTTTTTTCAAAGGATGGAGCACCTCGTCAACATTTGTCTCTTCATGTACATTCATCAAGTTGAGATGTTTAGACTCACGTAGGATTTAAGATGTGCTGACTGTCGAGACACTCTCTGTTGAACATGTTTCTTAACAGGAAAAGCAGAGGCGCCGACTCTTAGGCTCACTCCTTAGACAGACAGACAGTAACTGTCTTCTACTGAAAAGCCGGCTATAAAACACATCATTTATTAGTTAAAAACAGAAAGTAACTTAAACAACCTAAAGCACGAAGAACAAAGAAATTCAGAATAAGACAAAATACAGCACCGCAAGTTAAACATTGAAATTTAAATGACTGTAAAACTTAATCCACGCGCTGCCTCGTGCCTGCAACACCTCACAAATAAGGACAAAAAAAATGGTTTTCAAAAACTTTTCCATGAGTATTTGTTGCCATGGTAACCAGAGCCAGCCTTGCAGTCTTCAAGCAGGACCTGAATCCACCTGACCTTCATCACACCCAGAGATTTCTCCTCCTCATCCCGTTGCCTGGCAACAGACATCAGCAGTCTGGTATCCAGGAAGAGCAAACTCGCTTCGTTAGCCGCCTCTCCCGCCGTCTGCTCCAGAAACTTTTCTCTCTCGGATTCCTTCATCCAGGAGCTGTTTGCGTTTTGATATTTAAGGCTAGACGAGCCAAACAAACACCTGGGGTCTGGACGTTGAGCTCTCACAAACCGCCACGCCACCGTTAGTGGCTGTTGTCTTTTTATCTGTTGGTGAAGCCGTCGTTTGTGCTGACGTGCAGTTTTTACTCGTCTTGTTTTCCATCGAAGTTGTGTTTAACGCTGTACTGTTTTAAGTTTTGTTTTGTCTCCCAAGTGTCCAACTGTGTCACACTTACTGGAGGTCATTTTTATTTAGCAGCAAATACCTCAAAAGCAAAAAGGCAGTTTCATGTTCTGATTAATCTTTCACCCTTAATGTATGTTTTGCATCCATTGCATAAGTCACCATTAACTATCTTCTCTTGCTGTTTATTTGTAGAAGCAGTCCAGCCTCTACAAACATTTGGGTAAATCTTCTGTATACTAAAGATCATCCTCTCCGTCTCCAGAAAACAAGACAGAAAACAAGACCCTTCATTCAGCGCCCCGAAGCCCAGTACAGGAAGCCGGAGGTACAGAGGCGGCTGTACCGGCAGCCCGATCCACAGAGAGGCCCGAACGCGACGCCGGTCAGGAGACCTTTTCAGCTGCGACGACGGTGAGAGCACCGAGTCATGCTCATGTGCGGATGGGTTGCTGTTTTTATTACAAACAAGACTCACGTTTAATCTGAAAGTCAAATCACGAGAGAGGACGCTATTTATCGGAGCCAGAAACTGTGAAGAATCGTCAGAGAGGAGGTAGTTTAAACAGGCATAGTGGAAGGAAGATCTAAATGTAGTACTTCATTGAGGTAACTGTACCCCACAGTAGACTATATATATATATGTCAGATGGAAAACCAATGTGGGGGTGAGTCAAGCCTGCATTCCTTCTAACAGCCAGCAGGGGGCGAGTCCTGTGGTTGAAGTCAGATCTATGATAAAAAGATCCTACTTTTCACCTGATTTGTTACCTCAATGAGCACTTTCCTAATGAGCTCATGGTCTCATTCACTAGTTTCAAGTCTCCTTTAATAGAGAACAGATAGGTGGGCCAACCTTGTGGTTGACAAGTCGCCACCATGTCCTCGAGTCCTCAGCCTGATCCACCCCTTTGTTCGTCATGTCTAGTTTTCTAAAAATCAAGCTTCCAAATGATGCTCCACAAACCAATGGTTGATGGCCACGTCCATCTTCTACATACAGTCGTGACTCAATCATCGACCCTTAACAATCATGAACCTTGCTATCCGACAGGTTTTTAGGAAAAACGTACGGAACCCATGAAAAACAGCCTTAACATACTGACAGCCTTGGATTCTGACTCCAACATGACATTCTATGTCACCAATCAGGATAACAGCGTATTATCTGACTGAACAATCCCACAGATTGGCTACGTTCACACTGCAGGACTTGATGCTCAATGAGGATTTCTTTGTGACTTCCTTCACATTTCCAGTCAAATGCGACTTGTATGTGATCTGCTGTGTGAAGTTCATACGACCCAAAAGTGTCCCGCATGCGCAGAAGAGGACACGACGACGTCACACGCAGCGAGCGTGCTCAGTGTTTACGGAAGTAAACATGGATGGTAACGGTGGAGCGTATCTGCCACTCCCTCGACCTCCGTCTTGACAATCCGACAGCCTTGTTAGCCAACATAAAAGAGAGTTTTACATTTAGTGTTGGATTATTGAGTCACAACTGTACAGTCTTTGTGCAGCACACTTTGATCGCTCTTCGCTATTCACACAGCTGTATTAAAGCGCTTTCTATGTGTTCCATCCACACAGACCACTGCCGCCTGTCCAGCAGACTCAGAGGGAAGCCCGCCAGGCCACTTTTCTCTTTCGCAGAGGACTCAAGGTATTTAATGCATTTCACTGAGTGCAGTTAAAAGCACTGCATATGTAGATCAAAGGTATTCAGAGTGGTTTATGTGGACATTTTAAGACTTGTCATGCAGCTGTCAATGCATCGCTGTTTGTTCTTCATGTTCTTGGCAGGTACAAGCCCACGTGCAGAAGCCGAATCCCCGCAGCCCTCCTGTCAAAACACGGCAGTAAGTTTTCTTCTCACAGTCTATTTCGGTTCCAGTCGTTCGACTCCCTGATTGTCTGTGTTGCACTATTGTTGTGTCCATATGTGAGGAAGAGGAACTCGCACTGAGGATATGAATCACTCGGAGGGGAAAAAGGACCATTGTTTTCTGCCGCTTTAGGGCCAGTGTCTGCAGTTTGTGTGCTAAGAGACACCTTTTCCGTTTGTCCACCAGGTGGCACACATCGACAAGCAGCAATGGCATCTTGACCGTCTCTATTGACAACCCTACAGCCAGGACTCAGCCAGAGTAAGTGCACGAAGCCTGAAGAATACTTTACAGGAAAGACTAGTTTGAGACATGTCTGTGAAGTATAATACATGTCTAAGAAGTGTGGTCTTTACAACCACCATCACCTTCCTAACACCCTTCAACTTGTTCATAGGCCTCCCACTGCCTGGACTTTGCATCCTCCAGCTGCCAGCTCGGCTCCCGTCAAGGTGGAAACGGTGGAGAAGAAAATACCAAAAGGAGTGCCTCTGCAGTTCGACATCAACAGCGTTGGGAAACCGGTCGGTGTGCTGCTTCAAGTCACTGTTTGGTTGAACACATAGAGGGGATGCAAATTTGAAACCATTTCCTGAAGAGCAGATGAAGCTAATGTTACCTGAATTTTAAATTAAATAGAACAACCCCCCACAATGTTTTCATGTGAGATTGTGGTTCAGTGATCGGCTCGACCCAATCCAAACGAGCTGCAGTCATTCACAGTACGTAACCTGCAGCCTTATTAATCTCTCTTCACAGGACTTTGAAATCAAAATAATCCTCAGACTCGATCTACATGATGGAGTGACTCGTTAAGTTACCGCGAGTCCAGCTGCTGCAAACAGCTGCTCAGTGGAGGCAGACGTCCACAATTGCTGTCACTTTATCAGTCAAGGAAGTCTGTCGGTATCTAACGTCACCTCTAGAATGTTTTTATAGTCAGAGCACGCTGTCAGTGATGCACGTCATCGCTTTAGTTTGAATGTAATCAGAGTCCTTCTGCTCCTGAACTTTAGACACTCAGCTCTCTGCCTGTGCTACAGTTTGAATCGTAGCTTAGCATTAAGCTAGCTAAACTAGACATTCAACACAGGTCCCAGAGTTAGCAGTCAGACAGCAGCGAGGTGCTTCATGCGACCCTTACAGGCGGTCAGCAAACACACCTGTAGCTCCGTCTTATTGAACAGTCAGAGGCTCCACTTGGTACAAACCAGAACCGACATTTACTGACACGTCCTTCGTCTTCTTCCTGATTGGTTGAAGATTCTCAGTCATCCAGGTCATGGATATTCTGGTAGTTTAATCGTAGCAGCTGGACTTGCTTGAGTTCCTTGAAGATGTTCCACCTCTCATCCAAGAGGCTTCATCAGGTCTGACTGACTAGTTGGGAGTTCCAGATATTCTTTAGGAGCCATGAACACTTGAGTTTCACTTGGGGGTCCCCCTGCCACAATGGGGTTCGTTAAGGTCTTTAGTGGGTGTGGATGTGGGTTCAGAGTTCTTTAAACTGAATTGTAAACAGGTGAGAGGTGATGCCTCAGACCGCTGTTGAGGGTGGAGGTCTAACGAACCCAATTGTGACAGGAGGAGCACAAACGACTCACATAATGAGGGGGAGGAGCAACAACCCCCCAATTAAAACCGAAACGCAGGGTCAAGGAACTCAAGCAAGTCCAGCTGCTACGATCAATCTACGAGAATATCCTCATTGGTTTAATGTTTAACAATAATTAATCATTAAAACTCGGACGCATTTTAATGACGTGATTTTAATTCCTGTGTTGACTTGCTTTTCTTTCCACAGCAAACCTCGATGACCCTGAACGAGCGGTTCCGCATCCTGAAGGACCGACGCACCGCCACAGCGCAGAGCAGCAAAGGCAGCAGGTTCGTCACCGTGGGTTAGCAGAGAGACGAGAGAGGAAAAGAGAAAAGAGTTGACGCTGCTCGGAAGCTCCCCCGTCCTGCTCAGACCCACACAGTGACCCCACCTCCCCGATGGACTGGACGGTGCTGACCCACTGACTGACTTTACTAACAGGAGGGAGGCCGGCCACGGGACACACGAGTACAACGTGCACAATCGGTCAGCCGCGAGAAGTCCAGCACACAAGTGTCAATGGAAAACTTTCTGTCTAAAATAAGTTCCCGTTCATTGTCCATATCATTGCACTCAGCTGTTTGTATCGTGGATGTTCTAAACGGGGAAACCAAGAGCTTCTTTCCCATTTGAACTTAAAACACTATTAAATTTCTTTTCACAGAGGGCCGCTGTGTATCTGCAAGGATGACACGTTCTGAAACCGTTTTTTTGACATTTTTTGAGAGTTGTTTTTTTTTTTGTAATATTACTCCAAATAAATGGGTTTGTCTTTGAAGGTTTGTTATAGTCGTGTAGCCTCGGATTGAACACGCTTCGAGTCTGGATCCTGTAATCAAACAGCGCCACCTGTCTGCGAACCAGACGCCTCCCTGTTCGTCCACAGCGATCGGGCGGTTTTTATGTGATATCTGGAAAGTTTACTCCTCTGCATCTGTGTACCGTGCAGGTGTCGGGTTTCTGAACGGAGGAACGAGGACGCGCTGACATTTAATCCTTTGTAATCGGAGTTTGCACATATCGTAGGTGGTTTACCCACGAAAAGGGTTCAAATGTCTGCAGAGCTCGAGAATATTTTGCATCGTCTTTGTATAATAAACTGGTTTCTGGAACTTTCTAACAAAAGAAACTTGACATTGTTTTGTTTTTGAATCTGAATATTGCTTTTATTTAAATACATTAAAATTTGCAATGTAACAAAACTATTGGCATATGAAATTCAAACACCATTTAAATGAACAAAACATGGCTCACTTCATTTTTTTTCTCTGTGACTAGCGTCGGTTGGTGACGCTAGGTTATTTTATCTCCGTCCACTCGCCGCTCCGCATCATCTCCCCTCCCCTCCCTGTCCCCCCCACACCCCCATTTACACTGTTCACAGACTATCTTACAATAAGAGTGCTGAATAAAAATGAGGTAAGAAAGTGGTTTGAAGATTACAGATCATGCAGAACATGCTGAACAGCAACAAAAATATTTCGTGAAGGAGGAAGTAACAAAAAAAAAATAAAAATACATGTGTGCATTTTCAAAATAATCAATTTTTTTTTTTTTTTTTTTTTTTACACAGCTTTGCATCTTTGGTTACAAAGTATGTTGAATGATTTCACAGCTTTTCCCCCCCCTGGCCCCGTCAGGAACACAAACGTAAATAAGGAAGGGGGGGATGTGGCAATACTAATTCACTTTTAGATGAACTACCAGCAGTTGTCACCCTCCTGCAGGCTCCTGTTAAAATCTGATGGATGAAGAGTCGTCGCCCATCGAGGCTCTTAATACTTTACAAAAATGTACATTCAAACTGGATCGAGCTGTGAATTGGCAGCGTAACATCTGCATTAGTGTTAAACATCTGTCAGATTTTTTTTTTGCCTACATTTAACAAATATATAGCATTGCCTGGCAAGAGCGGCCGATCTGTTGAAACACTGTAAAAGAAAAGAGGAAAAAAAAAAAAGGGCTACTGTTAAACAAGTTTCATGAAATTGTTCATTTATGAAAATAGCAGCCCTGTAATAAATAAAAAACACTTAACAGTAGAACTCAAAAGATTGATGATGCAAGGGTCGATAAAAAGTAACGGCAGCGGTGTGGCGCTCCCATAAACACTCTGTCTGTCTCGCTTTCTTTCTCCCAGTTCTGACTTTACAACATGAAACAGCAAGGCTAAAAATACCCCTTTACCCACTCAGTTATTTCATTTAAAAAAATAATCGCTCTCTTTTAGACAATCACTCCCCCGTCTGTCCCTCACCTCCCCCTCCCTCCCCCCAGCAGACACGCTTCTTTGAGCAGGTCAGGAGGATGGTTTCTTATCCCAGCACGAGTCCATCGATCCAGGATCACAGCCAAGATGGAAAAAATGGAAACCGACCTTCCCCGACGCTCCACACCTCGTCCCTCCACCTCCCTCTCTCTCTCTCTCTCGCTAGATGATTGCATTAACACTGGAAAGGCCCACAGTACAGATGCGCACACACACACACACACACACACACACACGCTTACATTCAAACATCAATTCACAGTCTCGCTTGCTTGCTAACTCGCTCGCTCGCTCACACACACACACACACACACACTCACGAGCACTGTACTTTGTGGTCAAGCTGGTGGCTAAGAAGACAGTTTGTTTTTTTCTTCTTTTTAAATTTCACATACACTAATTGTAATAAGTTGCAGAGAAGATGCTCTTCTTTTTTTCTTTTCTTTTTTTTTCTCCTGCCCTGTGTGAAGCAGGGCAGATGCACTTCAAGCGGAGGTGACGTTGGGCTGCAGCTGCTGCTGCTGTTGGCCCGGGTCGAGCTGAGTCTGGAGCTGCTGGGGTTTGGGGTGGTGCTGGAGTTGGGGGTGAGGAGGCTGCGGCTGAGGCGGAGCTTGAAGCGGCGGCAGCGGCTGCTGCTGCTGCTGCTGCTGCTGGGCCTGTTGCTGAGGCTGGCTGAGTCCTTGCTGCGGGGGCGTGGCGCCGGAGCCGGCGGCCGACTGGGCGGGCAGCTGAGACAGCTGCTCGGTGTTGGCGAGCGACTTGAGCACGGCGTTCTCCCGCTCCAGCACCGAGTTCCTCTCAAACAGCTCCTTGATCTGCTCCTTTAACACCTCCACCTCTTCGCGCACTGCATACATCAGATGGCTTTTCACCAGGTCCTGAAGGAGGAGGGGAAAGATAAAGAGCAGCGTGAGATGTGCACGGACGTGTTAGAGAACCTACAGGCTAGAAGCTGTTCCTTCTAGCTGTCTATTCAGAACATAAAGACCCTGTTGTGTTCAAAGACAGCCGTACGCGCCGCTTCCAAGAATATAACAAGGATGGGTCGATCTAAATAACTAGAATTCAGCAACACGATACGATGCAGGGCGTATGTGTGTGTGTATGTAACCCAATAGCTGCTTCATGTGCTTCAAATCAAAACGTGACATTTTGGATCCGTGTGATCAGCGGTGGACGGGTTACTCACCATTGCCTGTTCAATTTTATTATCGATGGCAACAACGTTGGTTCCAGAGGCACTGAAAGAAAAAACACACAAAGAGAGGACACAGAAAGTCAGAACTCAGCACAGAAGTGTCAGGATGTGACTCGGTCAGTGAAACCTCCAGGGAGGTGATTGAGTGGAAGGAAAAGGTTCTGAAATAACTCCTGCTCTCCTGGATTATTACTTGTAATCCAACACAATAAAGGGGTACACGCTGTACTATTGACACTGATTTGATAACTGAATATATCAAGAAGTAAATTCTGAGGTAATATTGTAAATGAGATGAACTCTGTTCAGGACTTTTGGAGCCCAGGTCATTTGGTTCGGGTCACAGGGACATTTGTGATGCATTTGGAACCAAAAACACGTCAACTTATTGTAGAAAAGTCTATAATGAACACAAATATTTTGCACATATTCTTTCTTCTACGTATGGAAACATGAAAGTCCTGAATATGGTTAAAACGTTATTGATCCCTGAGGAGACGTGAACGACCTACCGAGCTGATCTAAAGCATTCAATCACCTTCACCTGCTGCAATGAACACATGAACGGATCAATAATTATAATCTATAAATAGACATTAATTGGAAATGTGCCATCCTGCACAACTGTACTTTTATGTAGTATTTCCACACTGTGATGGTACAACTTTTAGTCAAGTAGAAGATCTTCTGGTCACATTTTTGCCCCTTTTTTCTTCTTCTATATCTTTTCCCAAACAGAATAAAAACTCAGAACACCAGCAAACAGACAAGAATGAACAATGAACTAATTAAAGATAATAAACCAGGAAGAAGCAGCTCAGACTCGGTGCTCCATTCATCAACCAACAGGCCACCAGCCGCCACATATCTGGGTCGTATCATACAGAACCACCCGTCACCGCTCTGGGTCACACCAGAACCTTACAGCTCCAATCTAGGTCACGCACAGGAAAAATGAAGAAGCCGGGCTGCAGGCGGCACCCCCAGGCCCGAGTCGGTCCGGATAATGCATCACTTTGTTGAACTGTTAAAAGTTTCCAAAGGCCAGAAGCATGCAGCCGAAGCCCCGGTGCCGGGATCATTAACCCCGTCCCGCTCCGTCGTTACCTGCGGGGAGCGCGGTGGGAGCGCGGCGGGTCGCAGCTGGGAGGCCGGGTCGGCTCACCAGGGCAGCCCGGCGGTTTGTAGGAAAACGTGCACGGCATGGCGCTGCTCCGGTAGCGGCGGACACAAGGCCGCCGGAGCGCACCGGAGGCGGCGTGGCAGGAGGCTGCTTCACTGTGACCGCATATGGAATAAAGAAACCCGAAGCCGACGGGTGGAGAAGACGGAGGAGTTGACAGGAGGCGGAGACGCATGTGTGGGATTATTTGTGGCTCCGCCCGCCGCTGCCCGGCGGGAGGGACGGCTGGATGTCAGCAGGGGCCTCAGAGCGACTCTACCGGAGGGAGTCTGAAGGAATTACCCCCCAAAAAATCAAATTTAAAAAACTGGAGCGTTTATTGAACTTTCTGACAAACTAAAAAAATTATTAAAAAATAGTTTGAAGTACAGCTTTTACCCTGTTGAGCCTAAACCAAGAAATAACAGACAGAAAATTAAAATTTTTTTGAAACTGGAGCATTTATTGAACCTTCTGACAAACTAAAAATAAATTACTTGCACATTTTGTAAAGTTAGTTTATTTTGTATTTTATTTTTTAATAGTATTTAACTTTAGCCCGGGACAGTTTGTCTGCTGTTTGTCAAACACAAACTGTTTATCACTTTCATCGCCCACTAAAGCCCCAATCTTTAAATTTTATTCTGGATTATTTTGCCAACAGCTTCAGGATAATCTGTGGCTGGATCCCAATGTAGCTGTTAGCTGTTAGCGTAGCCTTAGCCACTGTGAAAGTAGCTTCTTGTTCAGTTTTTGCAGCATGTGAGCTACAGCAGCACGCTGAGTTTATTTGAGCTGTGAGCAACTGATGGAAGTAATGCTACAGATAATCAGAAAGATGCAGAATATCAGCTCTGGTAATCAGCCAGACCAGTAATTACATTTTAAGTTTAATAGCTCTGATGTGTTTCAGTAGATTTCTGTTAAATGTCACACGTCTGTGTTTTGCAACGGCCATAAATGATTAAAAAAGACTCATCAAAAAGCCTCTAAAATAATTCTGGAAAACAAAAACACCCCTGTCACAACTGAAATGACAAGTTATTTGGTTTATAAACCTTTTTTAAAAGGGTTGATAAAGTGCAGGAAACCCAAAAACCAGAACACCAACAGGAAGTCAGACAGTCGGACCAAACCGGGCCAGGCTGAGAAACACACTAAACAGAAACACAACATGTAAACTGTGAATATTAACAAAGAGAAATAAAATAACAGAGTGATAAAGAACTTGCTGAGGTTATATAAGTCTAAAAAACAAGTTTTAAGAAGTGGTTCTGGGAACCTCGTCGCCGCAGGCAGCTCGCTCCAAAGCAGGAACAACCTTCAGGTTTTCCTCTGGAGCAGCCACAAGCCCCCACCTGAGGATCTGAAGCTGCAAGCTGGATCAAATTAGGGTCAGCGTTCCTGCCGTGTAGCTCGGGGGCCGAACCCCGACAAGCTTTTAAAGTGATCAGTAAAAACTTACAATCAAGTTTTAAAATGAGAAAGAGGCCGGCGGTGGGTTGGAAACCGGTTACAGGCTGAGCTGCTGCAGGCTGCTGGAGGTGAGCGGCTGGCTTTCGTTTAACTCAGTCCGTCAGTCCATCAAACAGCACGACTCTATCCAGCCCAAACAGCACCATCAGCACTCTATCGCTGGGCTGTGAAAAAACAAAAAGAAAGTCCTGCCCGACAGCTGCACGGTACCAGCAGGACTGCTCTCCACAACGGAAACGTGTTCCTCAGAGACTTTTAAACTCGTGGAACGTTTAGTGAGCCTTATTTAGGTTTTATGTGTTTGCTGCTTAACGCATCACGCTAAACAAACACACTTTAGGAATCGTGTCAGTGAAGAAAAAAGGGGAAAAAATGTAGGAAATCCACCCAAAAATCCATCCTCCATATCATCAGCTTCATCTGCTGTCCCTCTATATTCAAAACTGGACATAAAGTCGTTCAAACAACCGTAATAAATAGGTAATTAAATACTTAAACTACACTTTGCTGCTGATATTTATGCACCATAACTTAAGTAGGATTTTTAAATCACTGTGTTGGTACTTTTATTTTTGTTCTTCCCCACCCCTGCAGGGCGGAAAGTTTGGGGAAAATATGTATATAATATTTTTCTGACAGGACTGCAGGGTGGTTCGGTGGTTAGCATCGTCGCCTCACAGCTAGAAGGTCGCCGGTTCACGTCCCGGTGAGGACACCCGGGATCTTTCTGCATGGAGTCTCCATGTTCTCCCCGTGCAGCGTGGGTTCTCCGGCTTCCTCCCACAGTCCAGAAACATGCTGAGGTTAATTGGTGATTGTAAATTGTCCGTAGGTGTGAATGTGAGTGTGCTTGGTTGTCTGTCTCTAAGTGTAGCCCTGTGATAGACTGGTTACCTGTCCAGGTGAACCTGCCTTCACCCTGAGTCAGCTGGGATAGACTCCAGCCCCCCCGCGACCCTAATGAGGATTAAGCGGTGTGTAGAAATGGAAAGTCGAGCTTCAGTTCAATATCGACTACGTATTAGATTTAAAAATTCAAATTGCACAGATTACAGTTCAGCCCCACCTCTGGCCTGTTATCTCTACATGTATGGACTTAAATGATCAGTATGCACACATAAATAATAAGAAAGTGAAATGCCAGCTGTTGTAGGTCATTTAGAAGCTGTGTCGCCACTAAACACTTCCTCCACCAGAGGGCCACGACGAGCTTATTTTTCCAATTGCAAAATGTTCAGCTGTTGTCCAAACATTTTAGTAAACAAACGTCATAAATCCTCATAACCAGCCATCATGCTGAGTTTCCATTATTGCTTCTTCTATTAATTTTCTGACACCGTATCAGCTGAGCTCCAGCCAGAATCATGACTGCAGGTTTTTTTGCCTGCAACAAGTCGAGACTCCCGCTGGAGACAAGATGTTCTGTTCCTGCGCACCATCCAGCTCATGTGTGTGTGTGTGTGTGTGAGGCCGGTAGAAGCTCTCAGCTGATTGTTATCAGGGGCTGCACTCAGGCAGGAATGTCCTCCATACCTTCGCAGCTATGAAACGCTGTCACTCATGTCCCCTGGGCTACCTTTGATCTCGTGGTCGAACACGAACTACATGCAGCGAACAACGAAGACGAGCTGAACAAAATCCACACGGTGTCACTCAGGCGGCCCATCACACGCCCATCACTTCGAGAAGTAAATCACAGAGAAGAATGTGCACTTCGACTCGGTGCTCGCTGAGTCTTTCCCTCAGAGACCACGCCGTGTGACCCACCCAGCCCCCACGAGCGCTTACATAACCCAACGCTGTAAAAAAAAAAAAAGAAAAGAAAAAGCAGCGACTTCACCCAAATGTGTGTTTAATTTGGATGAGGCGTCACACACACACACAGAGCCTCCTATAGTCTTCCTCCCTAACAGGAGCTTTCAACAGGCCTGTGCCCAGAGGAATCTCTCGGCCTATAAAACGCAGACGCTCAGTGGACTCTCTGGGTTACACCCATGTTGCTTCACCTCGCCAGTGGCTTCAGACGGAGACGCAGAAAACAAAAACATGCTCCATTATTAATAGGATCACACCATTATACTGCACACATTAAACACACCAGTGCTGCTGTAAACGCGCTCATAGATGCAGGCAGCAGCTCTGCTTAGAGGTGGGCGACGCAGCCAAAACATCATATGATGAGGAGATCCAAATCAGAATCATAATTCTCCTCAAAGATTCAGTTAAACTCATGTGATCAGTTGTGCATATGGTCGCCTGGATACGAGGCTTCACCTCTGGGCTAAAGGGTCACGAATCTCTGCATCCTGTTTACTGCTCTGGTGGCGGCGGTTCGTATCTCCACCGATTTGACAAATCTTTCAGGGTTCCCTCGTCAGTATTCCTCGTGAGCCGCCAGTGTCGCT